GCAGTTTTGTTGTGGTGTGTGGGGCTGCAGCACTCACAGGATTGCACTGGCAGGAAGGAGCCTCCCTGTGCAGCTGGGACTGAAATAATTTACTCATGGTACTGTTTTTAGAGCTGATAAAACTCACAGTCATGCACACTTTGAAAAAAAGAGGGTTTCAAAATCAGGAAATACTCAGAAAGCAGGATTGTTAAAAGCTGTATAACCCCAAGGTTTTGGGACAGATTCTCAGCTTTGGGGATTGGTAATGCACAGAGACACAATGTCTTCCTCTCATTTGAATCACAAAATTCAATTCCTTTTTTTCCTTTGTTTTCTTTTTTTAGTAGTAACAGTTGGCTGATATATTAACTTTGCAACAGCTTGCACAGTGTCCCTTTTTTAGTGAAGTATTTTAAAGTCCCTTAATTACTGAACTGCTTATATTTACATTTGCACATCCAATGATTACAGGACCAAGGGATTCATTTTTAAATTAGATGGTCTCAAGTTTACTGCAGATACACGTACAATTAACTTTGCCTAATGAGATACAGCCACCAAATTTTGGAAAAAATCCAAATAAGAGAATTTTTTATCTGATGCAGTGAAGGTGCTCTTTATAAAGCTGTTATAGTACTTATTTGTATGAAATCTATTTTGTTCTACACATAGTATGAGTCTGTTTCATTCTACTGCGGTGCAGAAAAATAAGTTTTACAGATTCCAGTGATAGAAAAAGTGACTCAAGGTTTGAGGGGGCATTACCTCTTCATACTGAAATGGCTTCCTTTGCCCATATGTAACAAATAATATCCATGCAGTGGATGTGCTATAAATGCATCAAATGTACAGCAGTGGTTTTATGTGTGTGAGTGAGCCAGGGAATGTGTGATCAGCGAGCCATTGTGAACTGCTGGGAGAATACACCTCATGAAATGGATACCTCAACACACTTGCCAAAAGCCCCAGATGATCATTTTAAAAGTGTTTTCAAATATTTATGGGTCTTTGGGGGACCTATAAAGACCATTTACTTTCCAGAAAAAAGACCAATGTAATCTGAAGAAAAAATTATTTTTCTGGCCACCCAGCTGCACCAGCTAGGTGAGATATATTGATATTGCTTGCATGCAGATACGTCAAAGAATGGTTTTCTAAGTATGTGAGGTTTGCAAATTTCTAGTGGAATATATCAAAATCCAAATCCAGTACTGGAAAGTTACATTTCTTTAGAAGGCCTGTAATCACTGAGGAGACACAAACTATTTCACAGCCTTCCTTGAAGCAGGAATAAACACCTTCAGGCTTTAAGGCTCTTGAGCCCCCTTGCTTTCTCCAAATGAAAAGGTCAAACACCTCTATATCTCAAGTAGAAGCAAAACCTACTATGAACCAACAGTGCCTGTTTAGCAGAGAATACTTGTGTTTGAATATAGTAAATTGCAAGCTACACATAATGATCTCCAGAATTGTCAGCGTGGGAACACACTTTGGCGCTAGTTATGAAAATAACTAGAACAACCCATTTTCTTTGATTTCAACAGCTGCAAGTAAACACTATGTTTCTGAGGCAACCTGGAAGGAGAATAACAGGTATTTTAGTGTGTGAAACTAAAATGAAAGATGGTTTAATGTGCTCAGAGCTGCAAATCTGGTAAACAGCTTTTTTGTCCATCACGTAATAAAAAATATATTCACTTGCAGATACAGATGGAGAAACCTGAACATCAAAGTGCTTTATTGGCCATCTACCATTCTTCTGCCTGCTACTGCAATAATGAATGATGTCACTGCAGTTTACTGTCCCAATCTGATTTTCTCCATAGACTACCAAAGGTATCAAATTTCCACTTCCAGGATTTTTTTTCTCATTCATTCCAATGAGTTGTTGCAATACTTTACACACAGATTTAACTCTTCAGTGGCATAGTATCAATTGAATTGGGTTTAGTTTTGCAAACAAAGCAGCAAAGAGTGCCTTCCTGACTCCTAGGAACTGTTCTGCTGCCTGATCCCTTATCTTTCCCTTCCTTTTCTGTTGGGCTCAAACATCTCCTTTCCTTTAGCACTTTTTATTTCTACACTGAGATAAATACATTCTATCTGAATCACAGAAAATGTGTGTCATCAGATTTGCCCTCTGATCTCATTTCTGTTGACCTCTATCCATCAAAGGTCTATCTACCTTCATGTCTCTGAAAGTTCTTATGGTTGTTTTAGCAAATTTATTGCTTTTTCCTTTTAGAAAAATTGGAGCGCCACGAATGAAAAGTATTCCTTTTCTGAACTAAAAGAAGAAGTGCACAGGATATATTTCTTCTTTTTTACTCAATCAACTCCTTGTCTACTTTCTGCAAGATAAAATGGCTGTATGAAAAAAAAAAAACACAAATCTAGAAATATAGTTATTTTCTGTGAAAGACAACTTTTATATTCACTGTGGCAGCAGAAATTATAAATTATTAATTTCTGCATACTATATAGGAGGATAATATAGGACTAGGTATTTTGAGGAAAGGGGACAGAGCATTTGGACAAAACTTATAACAATCATGAGAAAATACGAGATAACTGGTTAAAATGAGAGACCAAGGAGGTCTCTTTCATCCTTCTACTCTCACATAAGTGTCAAATTGATATAAGCAAATGTTAGAAATTACTGTATTTGATCTTACCCTGCCTGTCATGTCAGGACTACCAAGTGGTGAGTTGATCCCACTTTCTATATGGCATGGTCCTTCATAGGTCACCTATCACACCATATCACTTGTCCCACAGATATAGAGAGACACTCCAAAACCCAGAACTTAGGATTTACCCTACTTCCCATTTGAATCTCACCATAGCCTTGCTCACAGTGAACACCCAGAAACTGTGCAGCAAAGAAAAGAAATAACTCACTAACAGAACACAGAAACACATATCTAACTGTACTTACAATTCCAGGAACACATTGTGACTCAAGACTGATTAAAAAGGGAAGCAGCTCTGAAATTTTGCCAGATATTTTCCAGCATGAATGATTCCCTTTCTCTCTCTCACACAGAGCACACCAAGAAGCTGTGTTGCACACTGCAACAACCTCCTATTTCAGCACAAAGAAACTGTCAGAGATAAGGCAAGAGATATGCAATATTATAACCATTATTTATTCTAGATTAATGAAAGGGGAAAATAGCCCTTTTAGTTGCAGCTTGCATGCAGAAAAACATTAATCTTACAGAGCTCAGGCTTTCTATTGTATTCACAATATATTAGCAGTTAGCTGATCTATCAGCTGATATGAATTATTACATTGGCTTACAGTGATATCAGTTTTCATTATAGGGCAGTCATCCAAGTCCTCTCCTATTCTGTTTGCACATCCTTATTTCTTTGTTTTTCCTTTACCCTTTGGATCCTCTCTGGCCAGGAGGTTTGTAGGCTCAACATGTTGGGGATTTTTTAATGTCTGAAATGCATGGACAATTAGAAGGTCGACCAATCAAAAAAATGGTTTTCCAGAGAATTTGTCTAGCTTTCTTTTCATTGACCAAACCTCCTTCTCCTTGGACTAAAACATGTTTTAGCTTGGGTAGAAAGGGGTAGGGAGGAAAGTGGGGGTGTTGGTTTGGTTGGCTGCTCTTTGTTATTGTTATTGTTTAGAGTTAGCTTTGTTGTGTGGGAAAGCACCCATGAAAGAGAGGTTGAATCTTTAAAATATGTCTGTGTATATTTATAGGCAAGCATGTACGTGCACATATATTTTCTGAAAGGAACAAGATTTTTGCTCACTTTTTTTTTTTTTGCAGGTTTTTTTCCTTACTTAGGCACTTATTTCCCTCCTCCACTCTCCCTTTTCTCCCCTTAGAAATCACTGTCTCTTTCTGATGTCTTGCCTGCCTCAAGCTGTATTACATGATTTTTGGGGCAGGGTTTCTTGTACCTTACCTATGTTTGAAGAGGAAGCAGCAAGCACCACTTCAAGTCTAAATAATGACAGTAATCATTTCCAGCAGACAGACAATCTCTTCCTGGCTGGCTATAGTCTTCAGCCAGACTCCTCAGCCAATGTAACTGGCAGTCCTGATATTTCCTCTGAGCCTGGCACAGATTTAGGATGCTTAGCAGTGTTCTAGATGCCAATTTATCAATTTATTCCCTAAAGCAGTTTGATTTTGTTGCATGCGAAAATATATACTTATCTATTAAAGGAAATACAAGTGGAATAAACCAGGAAATATTAAAACACAGCAGGATGCAGTGAGAAATGCTGTTTCTTAAACAGTAGCAGTAATCCTAATAAAATGCAGATGCAATCATGTTGAGGCAGCAGTGTGGTAATAAAAAGTGAAGAAAGGAGCAAGGTGAATAAAAAAAAAAGGGGCAGCCCTGGGGTGGAAGAATGGCTCTGAATTTAGCAAAGACATAATGTGGTGCCTGTTACAATTGAACAGATTTGCTTTCAAAATGTAAAATCAGTGGGTGGACTGCTTTAATGCCTGGTGTAACTCCACCAAATTCAATGGAATCATACCCATTCTGAATGTAGCTCTGCACAAGCAATACAATATACTGTAGGTGTGAATAAAGTCAGATGGACAGAGTTGAAAAAAAGGCATTCATGTGCATTTGCTTAAATGTATTTAAAATTCATGGCCCTTTTTGTTCATTTTCCAAGAATATTCACAGCAATCATATTTTGGTCGTGGAAAGCAAATTTCTAAGAAATGCTTAATCTTTCAAGTTTTGTAGCTCTCCAGGAAATTCATTTGTTTTCTGTCTTATGTCACTTTTCCTAGTGGGGATTTGAAACAGCACCATGTGACACGAGAAACCAGTTCCCAAACACCACCAGCCCTTTATTCTCTCTTTGTGTACAGTATCTAACACAGTGAGAAATCTGCTACATGACATAGGGTGGTGTCTGTTACAGATAATAATAATAATAATAATAATAATAATAATAATAATAATAATAATAAGAAGAAGAAGAAGAAGAAGAAGAAGAAGAAGAAGAAGAAGAAGATGATGATGATGATGATGATGATGATGATGATGAAAGGGATCTGGGGGTGCTGCTCAGCAGCCTCAGTGAGAGCCAGCAGAGCAAACCCCATTCCAGGTGGCATCAAACCAGCTGGTCAAAAGAGGGGATTGTCCCCCTGTGTTCAGTGTTGGTGCAGCCTCACCTCATGAGCTGTGTTCTGTTCTGGGCTCCACAATTCAAGGAGAATGTTCAAGTCCTTTCCTGCCGCATGAGGGAAGGCTGAGAGAGCTGGTTTTTTTCAGCCTTGAGAAAAGAAGGCTTAGGGGAGACCTTATCATCATGTTCCTGTATTCAAAGGGTGGCTACAAGGAAGAGGGAGATTCCTTTTTAATGAGGAGTTGCATGGAAATGGTGTGGGGTAATGGTACAAGTAACTCTTGAAGAGATTCTGATTGGAAAAAGAGGAAATTTTTTCACAATGAGAGCAATCAGCCATTGAAATAGTCTTCCCAGAATGGATTCCCCAACATAAGAGAATTTTAACATTTGACTGGACAGTGGACTGCACCATCTTGGCCTTTGTCAAGAAATGTTGGACCAGATGATCTTTAAAGTGCTTTCCAGTGATTCTGAAAATGCATTCAGAGGACAACAAAGCTGGTGAAAGGGCTGCACAAAATGTCCCATGAAGAGCAGCTAAGGATTTTGAGCTTCTATAGTTTGGATAAAAGGGATAAAAAAATAAAATTTCATTATTTTCTGGGGAGAGGAAGTGGAGAGGGAAGCTCTCAGCTCTTCTCCAGAGGAACCAGGGATAAGATAGTTCAAAGATGCACCTGAGGAGATGCACCTGAGACTGGGAATCAGGAAACCTCTGCTTACTGAGAGGGTGGTCAAACTCTGTAATGGATTTCTAGAGAGGTCAATGCCCCAGGTCTGTTGGTGTTTAAGAGACATTTGTACAGTGTCCTTAATAAGATGTTTGAACTTTTGGTAAACCCTGAATCTGTCACGAAGTTGGACTAGATGATCATTGCAGGTCCTTTCCAGCTGAAATTGCCTAGACATGAGTCTAAACATTTCCTCCTTGTGATCAGAAACCATGTTTATCAAAAACCAAAGCAAGTGTGCAAAGTAGAATAACCTGATAAAATATTATAAGAATCTTTTGATAGTGGCGAAAAATTGTGAGAAAATATTTTGCATAGCATTTTACATGTAAAAGCGTGTCAGTGTTGCAAGAAAAGAGGAAGAGAGGCATTTATTTATGTATTGCACTTGGGAATCTCATAATCAGTACATTGTCCAAACATATATGTGATTTTCCCTTCCTGGTCTAATAGAGTTTTTGCAGCTCACTGTATAAGCTTAATACATGTTGTTAGTCTACAGGATTGTCTGAAGTTAGACCTTGATTGTTCTGCTCAGATCCTTGGCAACTTATTTTGGTTTCCAAACATTTCAAAAGGTCAGTATGGCTGGAAAACTCTTACTTGACTGTACATCTTCTTCACTTAACAGTGGAGACAATAATCCAGGGTTTGTGAGGCAGCTTTGCTATAACAGGAACACCTGACACAGAAATGGAGGGTGACAGAACCACACATCTCTAGGGTGGCAGAGAAGAATGCTTAACAGTGGTTAATAGCAGTCACTGGTGTATTTAAAGGCAGCTACAAAAATGAAAAAGTCAAACTCTTTTTGGCAGTGGCAGAATATGAAACAAGAAGCAGAAAAATAAAAATTCCAGCTTGGAAGGTTCAAAATGCGCATTAGGAAAATTCTCCTTGCTGAAAGGGCGGTGCTGCCATGGAACAGGTTACACTGGGGCCCTGTGAAATCTCCATTCTCAGAGCCAGACAAAGCCCTGGTTGACCTGATCTAGTGCTGGCAATAATTCTGCTTGGAGCAGGGATTGGGACAAAACAACCTCTACAGGTCCCTTCCAACCAACACTGTGGTTCCATCATTCTAATATCTTTTGGGTTTGGTTTGGGGTTTTCTGTTTGTTTTTCATTTCTCTGGGCGCCTTTGGCCGACTTTGGGCCCTAAGGAGCCTCCTACCACACTCTGCTCTTAAATTGCCATGGCCTCACAATGAATTCTGCACATTTTAACTCCCTGGAAAACTGACCGCGAAGTGAAACAAAAAGTTTCCCTGCTCATTGACTCATCCTGTGTTTGCAAGAAATTCTCACAAATATCAACTGGACACAAATACAAACCAGAAGGTCTAAATGGCAAGCCTGAGGAGGCACTGTCTTCAGTTGTGCAGTGGTTTGCATGTTATGTATAAACAACGAAAAATCTCAAGAAGTGTTTTGGGTTTTCGTCCTGGAAGAAGAACAGAAAGAGAGAGAAAGGGTACTAATGCAAACCATGCTCTCAAATGTCTCCCAAAGCTATTTAATTTAACACTGGGGTATAATAAAGAAATAGTCAGATGATTTACACATATAAGGATGCTCATTTATAAGAGATCTGAATCAGATTCCGGATGAGGCATGTGGATTTGACTTTTTAGGGGTACAAGAAATAGGTTTTTTGTGTAATCCTGTAGTTGTCCCTTTTTTCCCTAAACAATTCATGATATATTACAGTTTTAAAAGAAACTATAGCACTTGTACTCATCTTTATTTTGCTTTTGTCAAACATATAATATCAAGGTTTCCTCAAACACATCCATATGTACAATTGATGTTTTACAGGATGTGTATCACTGTTATTCTCAAAATATTCCTAGGAGGAAACTTAGCACTCTGAACAACAGTGCTGTTCCCATTTAGCAGAAAAAAATAGGTTTTTCTTGAAAAGAAGTTTCCTTTTAAAAACAGATTCCTAGTTGTCTGAGATGGTTCTAATAGAACTCACTTTTAATTACCCTTCATCCCCCTCCTTTTTGAAACAGCACTACTATTACCTAGCTCAAATCTATGAAAAAGGAAATGACCCAAGAGATTCTCTTCAGGAAGCCAAAAGCCTCTGTGGTCCTGCTTGATGTTCCTCCTTAGCCAACTCCATCTTGTTTTACTGAGGCTCTGTTGAATCTTCTTTGTCCTCTTTTGATATCAAATGTCTTTCCTTCGGTTTTGCACCCTTTTAAAATGAATAATGTGTCCAGGTGTCTCTATCATGCACTCATCATTCTTTTTTCTCTGAGAATGGTTCAGCTTTTGCATCTTTCTCTGTCCAGTGAGCAAGTCTCCTTTAGGGACTGCTTCTTCCAATGCAGGTCAGCCAGGCTTCAGCTTCTCTCACATTGTTCCGACTGGATGTTACTGACAAATTTCTATGGACTAGACGATTTAAAAATAAGCTCCCCATGCCCTTAGGCTTCAATTCCATAAAGGTGATGTCTTTTCCTGCACTCCTATGAAAAACAAGGTGTTGTAATGGAATTCAGCATTGTGCAGGATCAGATATCTATATAAATAGTCAAATCCCTTAAAAATGCCATTAACACTCAGATTTAAGATGAGATTTTCTATAATTAGAAGAAAGGATGCATCTATTCAATGCATTCATTACAGTCTCCCATCCCAAAGTCTCTTTATCATTCAACACAGAGTGCAACAAAAAACACACTTGAATCAATGTCATATTTTAATGCTCTGATTTTCTCCATAGCCTCATATAAGCAGCTGTATTCACCTAAGCCATTCTTCTGATTTATAACTTCTCACCACTCATACCCTTGCTTATGTAAAAGCTAGGAAAAACTACAGCGACTTTAGTATTTGGGATAGACACAACTCTTTTCTTGTTTTTTTCTTATGCACTCATGCCCAGAAGTGGATAGAAGAACACAATTTTCTTAACATCTAAAAAAAAAAGGACATCGGATAACAGTCAATTGTGTCTGAGATGCAATGAAATTAATTCAGTATATGGCAAGTGTTATTTGTGCTGTCACTCACAAAAATATAATAAAAAAACCACACACACCAAAATCTAACATTGACCTTATGGTTACACATGGATCTGTATCAAAATCATCAGTCTGAATGCTTCATGTTTGGGAAAGTTCAGTGGAGATTTAGAGTTTGTGGTTTCCTGCTGTCTCCATAAAGAGATTAAGCCAAAGTTTTGGTTCCAGGCACCCTTGAACACTGTCTTTAAAAAGTATTTTAGGCATTTATTATATGGCATAAAGAAACAAACAATAAAAAAGCCATATTTTAGATTTAATTTAATTTTCAGCTCTACTGGCTATTCTGCAAGACTCCAAGCCCATATAGGTACACTTACTGGAGCCTCTTTTACAAGTGCAGAAGTGGTATTTTGGTGCTAATATTTGATAACTGAGAATCCTTTTAGTGCCCATCTCTGTAGAGAGAACAGAAAATTGGGTCAAATATTTGGTTATTTGAGGTATCAGTGAATGGTGAGTGGCCAGAATTCCAATTCCCCCCTCTCATAATATCAGCAGATTTTACCCCCTTTTAAAAATATTTCTATTTCCACCCTGCCTCCACCCATTCAGCAAGATTCTCTGACTGCTTTTGCAAAGGATGAACATGATTTTCTCAGAGCAGAGAAAATGCTGATAGAGGTTTTTCATATGGGGAGCTCAGGGTAAGCTGGGGAAGGAAGTGGAGGAAGGAAGTGGCGGAAGTGGCGGAAGTGGCGGAAGGAAGTGGCGGAAGTGGCGGAAGTGGCGGAAGTGGCGGAAGGAAGGAAGGAAGGAAGGAAGGAAGGAAGGAAGGAAGGAAGGAAGGAAGGAAGGAANAGGAAGGAAGGAAGGAAGGAAGGAAGGAAGGAAGGAAGGAAGGAAGGAAGGATTTGCAGAGACTGGCCCAAAGGCACAGGGAAATGTGTGCTCACACACCCACTGCAGCTCCCAGCACAGGCATTCCTTCATTGTCTGGGTGGAAATGAGCAAGTCTGGCAACTTGTTGCTTTCCATCCTCAGTAGCTTTGCCTTTTTGGTAATAAAAGCCCTTTGAGCAAAGCATTGTGCTCCTACATTGGAAGGGAGCAGCCCAATCTCCTGACATTTTGGAGCAGTAGCTGGCAAAGATGTCCTGCAGGATGTCCTGCAAGAACACTGCTGTGCTGAAACGCTGAATATATTGATGTATAAAAATCTATGCAAATTATGAACTCAGTAGTGACTATTTTCCCTCTAAAATTACTTCAAGAGCCCATAATTTTTCCTCTTCAGTCTCTTCTCATATTTAGTGTAACATTATAATTTTGTCTAATAACTGTGCAACCCTTTGGCAAAACCTCACTTTTCTGCTTGTCCTCAGGTTTGAGATGCCCCTGTTTGACTCACTGTCCATCCATCAAATTCATCCTTCATGGCTTTTATTGGGTTTTATTTGAAGATGGGGCTGTTTAAAAGAAAGATCCAAAATCCAAGTGCTCTTGTGTCTCTTAGGCTGCAATAGGAGACCTGTCATTTCCAAAGCCACCTGGAGAGCACCTAGAGTGTGCCATTTTCCAGTTTTGAAGCTGGAAAGCTGGAGGTTCTTACTGAAAAGATCTCAGTTAAAGCACCAGCAGACCTCAGCTCAAAAAAAAAAAAAAAATATTATTGACAAGCTCTGTTGTAGAGTCATCAAAATGCAATGCAAATGCACAAGTGTCTGAATCTGCTTGTTTTGGCATCTCAACCTACAAATCAAAATTGTCATATGAAAGTGATCTTTTTGGATCTCCTTCCTTCCAGATGGCATTTTTCCCATGTGCTCCTGACACGCACTAGCTCTGTCATACCTGAGCAACCCTCTGAATGTAGTTCCCTAAACTGGCAAAATTAATTGGCGGCTTGTTTCCTGCTAGAGTAATGTTCTGACTGTATCTAAGCCTATATCCCAGGGGGCTGTTGATTTGTCATTTACTGAGGAAGGGTTTTTTTCAGTTGTCCCCAGAAAATTGTACTTCTTAGAGACTTTTAGACTGCCGGGGTTGATATGATCTGAGAAACTTCTCAACACAAGCTCCAGCAAGCAGCACCCCACACCATGGGCAATTGGTTAATTGAAAGGATACTTGGACCATGCTGCCTTTGTCCTAAACTGAGCTCATGCTGCAATACAGGAGAGGAAGGGAAAAGCATAAATTTGCAGAACTCTTTCTAGGCTTCTTGAGGAAGGGAATGCAGAACCCTTTCTGGGCTTCTTGAGCGTCTCTTGAGACCAGCTAAGCCTGTTTTGCATCTCCTGCTTGACTTAATGGAAGGGAATGATCCAGTTGCTATCCTTTGCATTTGATTTTCTCTGTTTAGGGAAACACAGTCTGTAAGACACTTGTTTCATAAAATGCAAGATGTGTACATGTGAGCAGCTCCTCCAGGCTTCCTTTGGTACCCAAGAGAGCAGGAGACTTCCTCTCATTCTAGGCAAACACCTATGGAGGGTTAGTGGAAATGTGACACAGACGTTTTTATGAAAAATCCTTTCCTTAGGATTTTTCCTCCTGAGAAGCTGAGAGGCCTCAGGGACAAAATGTAAATAATGGTTATCTGCTGCTGTGGAATGCAACAGGTGCATCTGTGATTGGCCCATGTTGGATGTTTGTAATTAATGGCCAATCACAGCCCAGTTGGCTCAGACACAGAGCCTGAGCCACAAGCCTTTGTTTTCATTCCATTCTGTTCTATTCTTAGCTAGCCTTCTGAAGAAATCTTTTCTTCTATTCTTTTAGTATAATTTTAATGTAATATATATAAGAAAATAATAAATCAAGCCTTCTGAAACATGGAGTCAGATCTTTGTCTCTTCCCTGATCCAAGAACCCCTGTGAACACCATCACAGAAATGTGCTGGTTTCTTTCCATGCACAGGGCACTTCAGACACCTGCACTGAAATGTGGTGCCAGGTGGAGAGGAATCCTCCCTGCCTGTCTGAGTAACGCTCTTTGGGACAAATTTCATGTAAATACTTACCTTACTACAAGGTTCAATTACTTCCAGCTACATTAATAAACCCTTTCTCTGCCCTTTTTTGTATTTCATAGCAAAACCCCTTTTAAAGATCTGACAGTGTCTCAGGGAAACACGTCTCTTGTTGATGATGGACTGGAAAATGTATGTTACATGTCAGCAGCACTAGGAGCTCATAAGCTCTATGCTGAGAAGGAAAGCTACCACAGCATTCACCTCATGGCCATTTAAAGTGATTACCTGTAGGCTGAAAATTATTGTGTCATTATTCTCTTCAACTAGAATGAGCTGTTCTTAAAATCATAAGTAATCTGGTTTTGAGCATCTGCAAATAACAAGAAGCTGACAAAGCCAAATCCCCTCCCCTCTTCCCCAGACTCACCTTTGTTAAACCTTTGGATCTGTGCTACTTTCCTGATTATGTGGCTTATTTAAAAATGCCCTACTGTGTTATCTGTTTTTTTCAGACATCAATAGGTGTGCTTGGTGTTTAAATAGGTCTGAATAATGGAGAAATCAGTCTGATATAAAAGCAGAAGGAGCTTACATTTATGGTGGTAGCAATAATGATGGTACAACATCACACAATGGCTCCTGGAAGCAGACAAATGTCAAAACAGCATGAAAAACCCCTCTTGCACACTGTTAAGACTGCCCAGAATTCTCCCAGAATAACATACACAATGATTTGATGAATTCAAAGCGAATATCCACGTCAGTCCCTCACAAAAACAGCTAGTTTCAGACAGAAATTGATTATATTATCCTGTTTAAAAATAAAGAAATCATCCCTTACTTTAGCAGATTTTGTCTCTGGCATTTTGCTGTTCTTGCCTGAAAAGATGCTGTGTGTGAAATGGTGGCATGAAAGGGTTAGCAAGCTGAGGCACAGCAGTGGACATTGTTGGAATATAGCAGCACTTTGAGGTGCACAGGAGAAGGGTGTGGGAGAAGGGATGATCTTTGGAGAGCTAGCACACCTCAGTGGAAACTCCATGTACTGCAGGGAACAGCGTTTTTTAACACAATAAATCTGTGTTGGCTTAACGCAGCTGTGCATATTACCTGGCTGCTAAGGTTTTGGTCTATTTGTTCTGGTTTGGTTTTGCTCTTGTTTTTAAGCTGTCATGGTTTATATAATGCTCCATTCTCATGATAAATGGGATTTATCAACAGATTTCTTTTTAACTCTCTGTAAAGAGTCTCTTCAGGAGGACAATATCCCTGGCAATAACACTGGGCTTTCTGCACAGCCTCCACTTTACTCGGTAACCTTTAAAAGCAATCACTGACCCTGCAATGCTGACAGTAGTTACAGATTTAATTCTTCAGAGCTCTCCAGTCCCTAACACTCCAGATGAATTCAGTGGGACCTGTGGATGGATACCCCCTCTGAGACTCAGGCCTTGAGCTTGCTGAAAAGGGAAATGAGCCCTCACAGTCTGCTTATGCTGCTTCTGCAGATCCTGTGCTTGCAAGGTTGCAGCCTCCATATTCCTCACTGCTGGTTCAAGCAGAGATTTTTTTAAGGAATGGAATAGAGATGCACACACCAAATAACCATTTGAATTGGCAGAAAATCCCATTCCTGACTAAAACCATGGTTGCTAGAAAAGCTCATGGAGTAGAGCATTGTGTTTGTGATTTGTCACCTTACACTGCACATGTGCACTATGGTCAGGATAGATGCTATGAAAACAATAATGATTACAGTATTATGAAGATGGCAATAATACTGATCTTCAGTGTAAATAGGGAGTAATTTCTTCCTTCCAGTTTTCACAATAAGTAGGATAAGGAGCCAATATGTATACTATTTTTTGTAGGTTCATGACTATAACAATTATATGGGTAGGAGCTTTGCTAGCAAATATTTATCCTTTATTTTTTCATCTGACCACATTACTCTGCTGTGTGTCTGGTTTTCAACTTCAGCCTTGATTAAGGATTCTATGCTATTACTTTCTCTCAGTATAATGTTCTATGAAGTCCTGAATGACTGTGAGTTTAGTTCACTTGCCATTGAAATCCCACAGAAGCCTCCAGAACCCTTTCCTTTCTCAAAAATCTTAACAGTATGACTTATCCCAGTGTATACAGAAAATTATTTTGACTTGGAGATGACTTCTTTAATCGTCTCACCTTTGTAGTTCTAATTGGCCAGCTAAGGTACAGAAATCATTTGTGAGGGCATTTGAGGGACTCTTGTGGTGCTGCTCCTGGACCTGTGCTGCAGGGAAACACGAGGCTGAGTGGCAGTGGTGTTGGGGCACACGTCTCAAGGGGGTTCAGAAAAACATTGCTTCCTAAGGCACCTAAACACTTTTGAAGATTCAAACTGTAATTAATCAACAGTCGCTGGTGTGGGTGCTTTTATTGCTGCTTTTTTTAATTTGTTGTAAAGAAACTGATTCGTTATCAGCTCCTTTCCTGACACACACACAAACACACCCCACAATGGAACCAGGAATGGCAGGGAATCCAGAAAGACAATGAGACTCAGTGCAGAAAAGTGTGTAAATACTGATCATCTGCAGCACAATATGCAGGAACATCAGATTGAAATGCTAAAGCTTCAAAATCTACTATTGAAAAAGAGAACAAGCATCTTTCTCCTTTCTTTTCAACAGAACAAATCTATTATATTCTTCCTTACATTTTAATCACCTTTAGACAAATTCCAGCTTCGAAATCATTAATACATTGAAGAATATGTCATACACTTGGTCCCAAAAATGGCCACAATAAAGCCACAGTCTGTAATTTCCTGTGCTTCTTAAATGAGGCTCCAAATGCAGATACCCTTGTTAGATACCTCTTCCCTCTTATTTTTTTAGACATCCATAAATATCCTTTTAGAAAATACTGAAGAATGTGAAGTGCATGATCTTGCTACACATGGTATGTAGATTTCATTACTGATTCCCAAAACTTGGAATAAAACATGGTCAATTTCTTCCTTACACCCAGTTGTTCTCTCGGCACAATGAGTACTTGACTGTTTCTTGTAGTAATAATTATTGACAAAGGGACAAAACATGGAGCAGTCAGATTTTGCCCCACTGTTAGTTCCCAGAATTTGGAGCTCTGATGTCTTTGAAATAGCAAAAGATGTCCATAATAGATGTGATTTCTAAGATCTTCTGTAGGAGTTCTTTTCAAAAGCTGCATTGTTTCCATGGATGCTGCCATATAATCTAATTATTCCTGATGGGCTGCCTATTATACCACAGGATTCTTCAAAGGAAAGGAAAACAGCAAGGTAGATCATTTGAGCAAAAAATCTTTTATTTGTTTAGGACAATGTTTCACAAAAGCTCTATCTGGGAAGGAAAAGAAATCTCTTCTGAGCCTCCTTTCTTTCAGAATTCAAGTTGCTATAATCATGTAAAGCGGCTCTGTGTACTGTATGTTTTATCTTTTCCTTTCATTGGATGATAGAAGACATTTCAGCCCCATGTTGGGATGGGGATTTTTTCCCACTGAAAAATTAAATCATTTATATTGTAGGATCTACTGTAGAACAACTAGGGTAAAGCCACCCCAAGCAGTCAGAGAATACAAGCCAGGCCCAACATCTGCAGCTTGTCAAAGGAGTTATTCCACTCAACTCAGCTGGAATCTTTTCGTGGTAAGACACATAGTGGTGCAAAGCAGTTGATATTTACATCCACCTCATTAAAGTGAATCAGTTTCCTATTATCCCTGAGTCCCAAGTTCCTGGGCCACATGATGAATCTCACTTGGTCCGTGGTGTGTGCCACTGAACTGGTTTTGACCTTGGGCATTGTGCTAACGAGCCCCATTGCATGTGCTGTTTCTCAGGACACCTTTGCACCTGCATAACTAGACTCCAGCCAGCTTTTCCCAGGGAAAAGGCCTGGAAATGCACTTTGTCATGTCAAGTAACAATATCCTGAGCACATGAGCACGATCTGGTCTTGCTGAGCATGAGTAAATAAATGAATGCTTGCCTTGCAAGCACTGCCATCCGAGCTACCACGCTGTAACAATATGGCTGTGTGGGAAGCTAATGAGTGCTAGAGTGGGAAAGGATGCAGGCTCAGAACAGTTTCTCCCCATCATCCACTCCTGTTGTAGAACTATTACCATAGCACTACTATTTTGCAAACCTAGATTCTGTGGTTTGGAGTTTTGCCATCCTTTTATATACATGTGAAATGATTTATCACTATATAAATGTTGTATTCGTTTGTGTAGTCAACAAATAGGAAAAATCTCTATGGATTTTCTTTTACATGGCCTTTCAAGAGCATTTATATTCAAAAATTACCTGTATTGCTCCTATATTATCATTATTCCTATAAAACACAAAGTTTCTGCCAAAGCCTTACTCAGGGCTTTTTTATAACTTATGTGACATCTACCCTTAACATTTGGTGATAGTCTGCATTGATAAATGGTATTCAGCTAGTAAACTTCTGCTTTTAGATAGACGCAGCTCAGCTTTGTTTCTTCCAGTGTTTACCAACAGAGAATTCAGAGTTTTAAACTCTGTTCAGGATCCAGAAGGAGCTGCAACAATTTCCAGCCTATGGTGCTCCTTAGGGAAGGACTCTCTGAGCAACATGGAGTTGAACTTCTGGAGGAGGGAGGGGGAAAAGTGAGGGATGGAACAAAGCTGTGTATATCTTGGGAAAATTAATGGAAAATTTTGAAGTCTGCAGTCAGTGGAGCTGAAGGGAAAGCCAACACTCTTACTCTACACAGCCCCAAAAGAAGCTGATATTCTGTACCTTTTTTCCCTCCTTCCTGTTTTTCTACTATTTATTCATCTGCAATACAAGACAACAGTATTATATTACTTAAACATGTCTGTTTTGGGTCTAGTTCCTCACAAACAAACAATATTCTTCAGCCTGAAATATTCTTACCTTCAATTACAGATAAATTTCTTGTTTTAAATTAAGTGTTTGGATTTCCCTTTGGCTAGGGCTTCAGTATGGAGAGATGGAAAAGTACTGATGCAGTGAAAAATGTGATGTGCATGCAGCCCCTGACAGAGGTTCAGTCTGCAGGGCTGAGTCCCAGAGCCCATCTCCTTTGAAGGTTCTCTCTCCCTTGTAGAAAGAAACCACATTCTTCCCTCTAGTTCAGCCACTTTCCTTTCATGTGGAGCCACAAGAGGAAAAGGAGGTGATGATGCCTCTCCAAATAATTGCTCTTATCAGAGAGGGATTCCATTCAGACCATGGAGAACCAGGGCAATGGAACACCATACCCAACGTGAATTTGTTTCCAAGCAGGGGGGCTGCCTTCTACACCTAAATCTTCTTCCAACACGTGGATCTCTTATGTGCGTATTTAACCAATGGAGGCTGAAAGTACCAAACATCTGCAGCAACATCACTGTAGATCTAACTCTACTACAACAGAAAATTCTAGCTCTAAATCTAATGTGTCTAAACTTTATCTATCTATGTTGGAGCACCAGTTTGGGGTAGTAAAGCTGAGGAGAGTGCAAAGTAGTAGTAGCATGAAAAATATTGCAATATTAAATACTGTTTTCCAAGTACTAGGAACTTACAGTACCTCCTAGTACTTTGGCCCTAGGAGGGACAAAATCATGGCTTGATATCAAAGTCCAGAGAAGCCAAAATCTGAAAAACTTCATTTTAAGAAGCAGACGTCCTCTCAAGGTATGGTTTGCTTCTAATAATTCAAAGTAGTACAAGATAGAGAAAAAAATATGTTCTCAGATGATGCCACTGGATGACTTGATATAGTCAGAAAGTATGGAATACTTTCATGGCATGAATACATATTTTGGGATGATATTAGATTTCAAGTTTTCCAAAGGGACAGTCTTCCTACAGCAGTACTTTCTTAAGCTTTTAATTTTTTTTTTTTCCCCAGACAGACACACTCATACATGGCTGT